TTTAATTTTAACCCAGGTGTCGTCAACATACCTGAACCAATGGCTCGGTGGCGTCCCTGTAAAGGACATCAGAGCTCTCTTTTCCACCTCCTCCATGTACAGGTTTTCAACAATAGGGGAAACTGGGGATCCCATAGCACACCCATGTTTCTGCCTATAGTATTGCCCCCACATGTGAAGTAGGTTGACTCCAGGCACAGTTTGAGGAGTTGGCACACTTGTTCTGTGGAAAGTGTGGTTCTGCTGCTGAGAGTGGTGTCTGATTTTAATCTTACACAGACCACATCCACCACCTTATCAACAGGAATGCACGTAAAGAGTGATGTGACATCACAGGAGACCATCGTTTCATCCGTCTCCATGATGACATCCCTCACTTTGTTCACAAAGTCCATAGTGTTCTGTATGTGATGATCTGAAATGCCAACTAATGGATCAAGTACTGATACTAGATATTTGGAAACATTGTAAGTGACAGTTAATCATGCTAACAATAGGTCTTACCGGTACATCCTGTTTGTGAATTTTGGGTAAACCATACAGACTAGGAGTGACCTCACCTGGGTGCAATGTGTGGTACAGAATGCGGTTAATAGCCTTGTCCTGCTCTAACTTTTTCGGTCACTCTATCAACTTCTTCTTGTGTCCACTTCCTGGATTTCTTTTCAGTGGCTCGTATGTGGTCGTGTCACTAAGGAGTGTCATAACCTTCTCATGATAGTCTCTCTGGTTCAAAATCACTGTGCACCTTCCTTTGTCTGCTGGGACGATGTTGATGTTCTTGTCCTTGCTGAGGATGGTGAGAGCATCTCTCTCTTCTCTACTGATGTTGGATTGTTGTGGTTTGGCATTGCTGAGACAGGCTGAAACTTTGTTCCTAAGTTGTTCTGCTTCAAATTCTGGTATTTTGTTGTTGCGATTGGCTGATTCTGTGGCTGTGATCATCTCAACCAGAGGAATTCTTCTTGGTGCGACCGCAAAGTTCACTTCTCTGGACAGGATTTCGGTTTCTGGCTGGGTGAGTTCTCTGTCAAATAAATTCTTCACCCACTTCTCTGTCTCCCTGGCATTTGCTTGTGCTCCTGTGTGTTGTTCCACCTTCTGAGAGTTGTTGGAATTATGAAGGGACTGTCGAGTTACCAGTAAAGTGAACTTCTTTTGTTGTCGGGTCTTGTACTTTATATGCTGAGCTAAACCTGCCTTTTCTGTAAAACACATAACCTGTTGGAATGTGGTCTGATCTAGATGTTTTGTTAATTCTTGTCGGATGTGTTCCTCTTTGGCTTCTATAGCTTCAATGGTAAAGTTGGTCTGTYTTAYYCDTTCGTTCAAAAGCTGGGTCTGTGCCCTCTGTAGGRTCTTACTTGCCCGTTGTCCACCAACAGATGATTTAAGTTGAAGACTTCTAGGAAAGATGCCACTCTGTCTGCAATGAAGATTAAATCTCATGTGACTAACCTTTTTGTCCATGTGGAGGCAGTGCTTATAAGGCTGAGTTCACCTGAAACTCATCAGAATGAAGAAGTCTCCTGGAGGAGAGACGAAACGTTTCACTAAAGAAGAACCCGTCCAAAGGACCTACTTATTTTTTCTTTTTGATTTATAATTTAAGGTATTTTTCCTTTGCTTAGGTGGCCACCTTGGATTTTCAGTTTGCAATCAGAGTTTATTAGAGCTTGGTTTCAGCAACAAGTACACCAAGTTTTAGCTCAGTAGTAAAAATGTCTGTGTTATAGCTATTTAAAATTAGCTGTGGTGGCCGTCTTGGATTTTATTTTGCATTCAGATTTTGTTAAAAAGTATTCTCAGCTACTACTATATAAATTTTCATCTGTGTATTTAATGGTTAATTTATAGCTCTTTGTAAATTTAGCATTAGCAGTTAGCTTAAATTGGGACTAGCTACACCACAACAAATTTCAGCTKAATATATCTTGAAACAGCTGGATTAGAGTCATTTGAAAGTGGCTGCGGCGACCATCTTGACTTGTCAAATTCAGGGAAGTTTTCTTTATTTGTGCCCCCCTAAATAACATCTTCGCCACCCGCCTTGCAAAAATGTTTAGCTCTGCCCCTGCTTCACAGTTACGTACTTTGTGTTGGTCRTGTCAGATTCCTARAAAAAMMMYTTKRMMAAAWKKKGGGAAARKTYSRRG